ACATATATATAAAATATATAATTATAATATATTATAAGTAATAATGGCTAGATTTAAATATAAACTCAAATTTTTGTCGTCATCCATTGCATGAAATTACGTTATATTGTGAGTAAACGAGAAATATAACTAACATATTTTTATCAAATTTTATCCATCCTGTTTAATTTTTAAATACCTCTGGACATTTATTTTTTAATTTTTTTAAACCCATGACCATAAGCTTTTTAATTTAGTATAAAATAAAAATATCTTAACTATATTTTATAGCGAAAACAGATGTAATAGTTTTAATTCTATGCTTTAAAAAAAATCCCTATATGACGGCCCAGGCCATATAAATATTTACTTCGACATCTCTAATGCCTATAAGTCACAATTATTCAAATTGGTTATTACATTTGGTCATAGTATTTTTCTGTGATTAATCAATAGGTATGATTATATTTTTTTATTAGCTGTGGCTTAGTCGTAATTTTAAATCGACATTACTAATGTTTTAGAAATGATTATTTGGTTAAAAGCAATTTTAGAAATTTTAGTGAATTTTAAACTTTTTTAAGGCGTAAAGGCAGTGGTGCATTGAGCGAGAACAGGCCTCATGGGACGAAAATTCGAGTGGCCTAAAATCTTTTTTGAGTTTAATTAATAATTTTTACTTACATATTTTTATATTATATATTACCAATTTAATATCATTTTCGTTTATTTAGCTTAATAATTTTCATATTAGTATAATGAAAATAGAGGCAAATAATCAAGAATTTCACTTAATCATTACTAATTCAAGATCAACTGCCATCATTAAAATGACTCCTACCTAGATTACTCTGAACAATAATGGTTAGCAATTTTTTTAGTTTAATCACCGTCACAACTCACTTGTATAAAAGATAATGTAAGAATTTATTCGTATACAAAATATTAGTTGGTTTGTGCAGTTGTATGCTTGCTTCCACTTTGTTTGGCAATTGGCTAGCAACACTGCAATTTTTTTTCGTATATCCTTGAATTTCTTTTATCTTCACTCTTTGTTTCTGTTGATATGTCATCAATACTATGAATAATCAAGTCAATTGCTATAAATTCTCAAAAAGGCTATTAATTTCTTTTCATAATTTTTCGATATCTACTTTTCACTAACGAATATATTTCTTCAAATCCTTTACAGTTATACCTTTTTATTAATTTTAACAAAGCATCTAGGATAAAAATATTGAGCACTCGTTAGAAGATGTTAATTCTTTTAAAAAATCTTTTAGTATATTACTGTACACCTTAATTCGGTAGATTTAAAGAGCATCATTTAGGCATAGTGTTGTTAAACGGTCTATTTGAGCTGATTTTTAAAATACGCATAACTCAATATTTTAGACAGAAAAAACATTGCCTAAACATTGAGATATCGCTATGTATAAACCTTTGTAGTATCTCTTAGCAAAATCCTTAAGTTTGCATAATATTTTTCTGAAGAAAACATTGAGTTAGCCGTTTTTGGAATTCGGCTCAAATCGAGCCAAACAAAACTATTTGGAATTCATCTAAAAATTTCGCAAAACTTTTTTTAATAACTAATTCTACAGAATAGTGTAAAATTTTAAATAAAAATATTTTGGGGTATCATCAAATCAGTCATGTTTTTATTGAAGTCTATAGAACTTACACAAGATTTACTATCTTCAACTATTTTCTACGCTGTTAGGATGTATAAATTTCTTCTTTGTAAGTATTTTATAGGGTCCAATAAAAAATATTTGAGCCATTAATAATGCTTGAAATTAACCAATATAGTTTAAAAAGCTTCAGCATCAAAATTCGTTTTCGTTTCAAATGAATATTTTCTATATATGTAGTGGACACTTATAGTAGTTATATAAGCGTATCCTTGTCGTTTAACCTAAAATGTCTTCTGACGTGCTCAACATCGCGTCTTACAAATTTTTTATAGCCTTTAATGATTTTTAAACTTATTGATAAATATCCTGCAAAGAGATTCTTTGCCCCGAGATTATTACATACATCACAAAAACGCATAATTTGAGAATAAGCTATAGTACCAAATATAAATACTATCTAATAAAATTTGCGTAATTTGAGCTTGCAAACAACAATTCACTTTATTATTTTCTGCTCAGTCAAAAGAATCTCTAATTATATTCTTAATTTGCAATCATTTTTAATAATAAAAAAATTTATATTATAAAGAAATATATTTGGGCCCCAGTTTATTGTAATCTGAAGGCCCGGACATTTTCCCACTTATTAGCTAGTCCACCACTGGGTAAAGGATTAGAATATATTGGAATGTTCATGACTTGAACACTAAGAAATATCTATATTTAAAGAAGGAAAAAAAAGATTTTTCTTCATTCTGCGGTATATAAGGAGAGAAAGATAGGATTATGGCAGACCTTTTACCGCTTTGGCCCGTTTATGTTCTTAAATTTATAGCTTCTATTTAATTAAAATATATATTCGCTAATCAAAATACTTTAACAAATATAGAATCTAACTCGAATATCCTCATAATTAATAAAAAATCCTTAATCGATTTTCTTATCAAAAAAAAAATAGAAAAATATTTTTATCAAGTTTGGCCATTAATTTTCAATTATTACAGTTAAAATACCATTAAATTAATTGGAATATTAGCACAAATTTTTAATACTCAAAAATAAATGTACATTTAATTAAATACCTCTAACGTTAGAAAAAAATTTTTTTCTTTTATCCATTCTGTTTATTTCATTTAGCAAGAAAATAATAAAATTATTTTATAGACAATTTTTGTTTTTGAGCCTAATTTTTTTTTATTAAATCTGAGCCCTGCTTGAATGTTTATAAAATTAGAATTGATATTACATAAAAATGGTTAATTATTATAATCTGGAATCTTCAGTAGTTTCATCAAATATATTTTAGAATCTAAATTCCAAATTTTATATATTTTGGTTGAGTAATTATTAAGATATAAGCATTTTATGACTAATAAGGGTTTATGAGACCCCGCTAGAGTAAATATTGAAAATTTTTTCTTTTTTAATTATAATATTTATTGCATTTTTCAAATTATTTTTTTATAATGATTTTTGCAGATTCTGTAGGTATAAATATAATAAAATTATTTAAAATGCAATATTATATTTGAGCTGACATGAATAAATAATTATTTTCATATATAAAGAAAGAAAAGGATGTCGTATGCTATCAATTTTCTACCATATTAAAAATGTTGATACAAATGACCCAAGCACCTGAAATTATAACATATTATAATATGACTAAAGGTAGTTTATATATGATTGATATAATGACAAAAAATTATTCAATTTAAAGTCAAATCGATGACCTCTAACAATTCTTTTACACCATCTAAAAACACAAAAAAATCCACTACAAGAAGCAATTTCATATAAAATATTATGAATGGTCGTATTAAGCCATATTTAGAAGTAAAACAAAAATTCTCATATTGCCTTGACTTTTAAAGAAATCTGTTTACTTTATATTAGGTAAACAACAAAATAGAAATCTTATCTACTCAAGAGGTAGGTATAGTATGTTTCCCAGAAATATGGATAACAAAACTAAATTTTTTGCCAAATATGAGAAAAAAAATTATGTTAGGAGTTAATGCTTTATGTGATAAATGTTTTAAATGTCAAAATTAACATATTTCAATGTCCAATATTTTGTTTAATATTGAAGAATAGATGTTAAAATAATGAATTATAATGTTGATATGATAGATAAATTATTTTTTTAAATTTAATATTTGAAATTTAAATAAGTAAGCTTTTTTAGAAATTTTGGCACAAATTATAAATATCCTGTTCATCTTTAATCTATGCATGATGAACTAAAATAATTCAAGTTTAATGTTAGATCTATCTTATATCCAAATATTAAACCAAAATAATGAATACAAATAGAGATTCGTCATTTTTTCACCGGAGTATTGAAGGGTTAACTTATCGAAATTTAATTGCGTATATAACAGTTGCATTGTAGCTATAAAATATTTTGCAGATTTAAGCGTAAATATTAAATAATAAATATGTCAATTATAAGATAATTTGCAAAAAATTAAATCTATAATAACTTATGAAATATTTAGATGATGGATTGAACTAATTCATGTAATTAAATATTTCAACATTTTTATCGAAACATCTATACTTATTAAAATGCCATATTATAAATTATAATATAATAAATATTGATTCTATACTAATTTTCAACAATTATAATCACATTGAAGATATGAATCTAATTTTCATGGCTCTTTTCATATATTATAGTATATTTTGATTTTTCACCATTTTGTTTTTTACTTAATGCCAAAAGGAAGAAAATTATAATAAAATGATTTAATACTTCAATGAAAATAATATTTATTTTAAATAAGCCCTAAAATTTTAAGAAACCTATTTAAGTAAAGTATAATTTATTTATTATAATTGATGCTAATTTTCTAAAAATAGGATTTTACATTTTTCAAAATTGGTACTGATTTAAAAGAACCTAGCTAGAGATTCCCCTGTTTTTAGTAAGTATGGGAGCATACGTTGTTTCACAGGTGCATAATAAAATACATTTAAATTAAGAAAATATTTAGGAAATCTCACAATAAAATAAAGTACATGATATCGTGGATTAACCTTTACAATATTGTAATATTTTGTGACAATCAATTGTTTCGATTAATTGTCAATATTGTATCATTCATAAAACCTTATACTAAAAATACATTTTTAAGGCGACTCGACCGAGGGCCAAGCAAAATTTGGACAAAAGCCCTAAGATTTAGGTTCGAGAATTAAACCCAAAAATGGTTTGTTAATATAATAATATAATCACTTAATATAACAAGAATTTTTATTGATAAGTTTTATTATAAATAAATCATACTACTATTATATATGTATATTTTATAGAAATAAAAGTAACAAAATTATAAGTAAAAAAATTTACAAAAATATGACATAGTTAAGGTTTTTATGTATATAAACTAAAATTACAATTATTTTTCCCATTTAAATTAAATGCATAATTATAATATGTCAATTTTTCGATTAAAATATTAACTCATATTTGAATTTTGGTAACCAAAAAAATTTTGAATGTGGAGATCTGCAGTGTGTGGGTTATTGGTTACAAAGACTAGACCAGGAGTACCCATTACTAAGCATTTAAGCGTGTTGGTACATTTACTTATGGCATTTTCACCGAAAAATTCTAATCCTATGGCTGGACCTATATTAAATAATAATAAAATTTGTTGCATTAATATAATCTCTTTAACAGTGAATACAATACTCTGATATTCTATTTATGCAAGTACACATTGTGTGTAGAGTGTCAACAAAATTTGAGTTTTGAAGAAAAAAATATCTAAAAATTTAATAATATAATATCTATTTAGTATAAAAGTTATATTTGAATTGTTAATTTATGTTTTAAATGACTAAATTATTAGGTTGTTCTGCAATTCCACTGAGCCATTTTATCTATCAGAAATAAATATATAAAAAATTTTCACAGCAGCTTCATTAAGATTAAAAGAGAATTTACAAGATAACATTTTTCAAAGATGCCTAGATACACAATGAGAGAAAAAATATATGAATCCTTCTTTTGACTAAAATTCAAGCAAATCAGTATTCGAAAAAATATTGTGGCTGAAGCTGTGGCATTATAATATAAAAAATTTTGAATTTATTTTTATACGTGGTATAAAATATTAGATAAAATTAATTTAAGTAAGTTAATGCAAAATCTGAAACAAATCATGACAAAAATAACTGATTATAGGAAAAATATTTCTAAAAAAGAATTTTAAATCTATAAGAAATGGCCAATCATTTGAGGAAATATAAGGAAGTTACTTAATTTTGCTGTTGAAATTGACCTTCAAAATGTACAAAAGCTCAACAACTCGAATACGAATGTTATGGTGACCCTATTATTGATACCAAAGAAAGTTCAAAGTAAAAGCCTATTTTGATCTAATAGGTTATGAAAAAAAATTTAATTTGCAGATAGATTTTGATTTAAAAACACATTTAAAATTTTTTTTTCATTCACAATAATCGATATAATAAATTTAATGCTAAGAAAAGCGCAATTTAATAAAATTTCCAGCAATTTAAATAATTTTAATTTAATTTAAAAATCTTACGAATAATTTGTCAATTTATTAGGTATTATTAATTTAAATATATGACCCAGTGAAAGCTTAAATTTCATAATAAGAGATGATCTGCGCCCAAATGTTGCAATCTTTGTCAATATTTTATAGTTACAACTTTATTATTAAATAATTCTTAGAATAATTTAAAAAATTTTTAGGCACCCCTCCTGTCCTTGTTGTTTAATTATTAATATCTCAAATGCATAAATAATGTTGTTTTGAAATATCCATCTTTCATACCCTGCTTTTGATATAGTATAGTAATATTGATAATAATAATTAAGGTGAGTCGAAAACTAATTTATTTCTTCGACAACAAATGTATTAAGATATAAAAAATGTCCAATGAAAAACTCAAGATAGTTGCATTTTAATATATGCCGACTAAAAGAATAAATTAGTTTTTTACAGGGTAAAAAATATATTTGATGTATATAACATATAAATAATTTCATACAACAAAATGTATAAATTAAACTAACCAGCCTCAACTGTTTGTTCGTAATGACTAGAACCGAAAATGTTTTGGGAATCGTTTTTATTTATATTCAATTGTCGCGTTTGTATGAGAAAACATTCCGGCTGAGTTTTTATAAAAAGATAGGATATGAGGTAGAAAATTTATTATATTTTTTTACCAATCATAATTAAGTTTGAAAGAAATTCCATTTTAAACAAAGAGATAATTTTATCATTTTATTTTTATATATAAATCAATGATGCAGTATCGATGAACCATAAATTTAAATCAAAACCCCAGAATATTTTATATTATGATATTTATCGGAGGCAAAATCAAAACAGCGAAAAGCAGGAAATTTATTATAAACGGGAACGTGAGAGAGATTGTATTATATTATTTTATAAAATTTTAAAAACAAAATATTTATTAAGTTTTTCTTTGCTTTTAAAATAAATAAAAATTTCTAAAACTATATACAAATTATAATATATAAACTTACATATCGCTTTTCAATCTCTTTAACTAAAATTTTGGCTCTGTCATCGTTTTGACCATCCCAAAAAAATACGATTAGACAATACTAAATGGTATATATATATTTTAAAAAAAATATACTAACTTTGCAAAATCAATCAGAATACGGAATATATATATAATCAAAACTAATAAAAATTTACAGTAAAGAAGCCTCTGAATATTAATCGTGATGAAATAATTATTTTTTAGAATTACTTCAAAAAATTTAGGTATACAAAATTAATAATTTGTATTTTTAGAAGCATTGTTTTATGCCAAAAGTTGATTATGAGAGTATTACTCTAATATTAAAATTCCAACAAGTACTAAGTAGAATAAGATATCTCAATGATCATTAATTCTTAGCATTTCTCATCCATATTTATATCAGAGTCAGAATTTTAGACCACCTGCTTCAAGTTTTTTTTTGGATATTTAACTATTTCTAACTGATTACTTGATATATATTTTTTTTAAATTTTACATCTCTATATAGAAAAATTATGAAAATAGTAAAATTGACAGTGCTCAAATGGCGTCAAAAATAAATATTTATAAATCTAATTTTTACTTTTTATAATTGGTAATTAATAATTTAAATTAAAAATACACTCCTCAACACTCCAATTCTGCATTAACGAAATTTCAAAATTGTGCCAAAGATAATTGTAGTGTTTATTTTAGTTCATTCGTTTGTTTATTAAATAATTCATTCATTCATACATAGATTCATTTATTCTAGTTGATCTATTATAAACATTAAAATTTTTTATAGAAACCTGGCAATTATTATAATAAGAAGCCGTCGAATTATTATTTTTGATTTGAGCTATTTGCAATGATTTAATATTGTTTATACCAATCGTCTGTAAAACAACGCTTTTTTCTTTGCTTATAGAAATAGAATTTAAAAGTGTAGCGTTATCAAGTGGTAAGGGTAGATATTGAGCATTAAGTGAACTTCGTTTGATCTGAGCACCGCAACTGCTATTACTATTAACTTCTTTATCTTCCTTATCGGCAACCACCATTGAATTTCTAGGCGCTTTATTGTGTTCGTCTTTTAAAGAGGGTCGCTTAACTTGTTCATCATCCCTGTTAACAACATTACCCTTCTCTGGCTCAACTCTCTTATGATCTATATAACCGTTAAGACTAGTGATTGTGTTATTAAGTTTTGAATCATTACTTTTACCATTAAAAAAATGAATTGTTTCAATGTGACTCGAGGCATTACTGCTTTCTTCTATGAAGGGCAAAGTTAAAGATGTTCGGTTTTCGGATATTTTACTGATTTCCTTTGTATTTGAATAATCATCAGAATTCACAACGGAGGATGTGATTTGTGGAGAACTCACTCTTATATAAGGACTATAGATCTCCAGACCTAGAGGAGGAAGAAACAAATGTAATTTTTGGTCCGAGTTTTCCTTTTTTGAAAATTAAAATATATATTTCGTGAGTTTGTGAATATATGAAGTCAAGGCATAATGCTTATTCTCAAATTTAGATAATATTAACTGAATTTTAAATTTGAAGAATCGATTAGGTGAGACCGTTAAAAAATAGAGCATGGTTACTAATTTTCACTTAAATATGTGTAAAAATTTGTTTAATAAAATCTATGATACGTCTAAATGAATTAAAATATATCATGATTAATGTATAAATAAAAGCCTCTGAAAATATATTAGTTAGTTATTTAATTCTAAACACTTAACTTAATTTAAAAAAATAAAACTTATGCATTGCTGGTTTTTAAAAAATAGTAAGAATTTTTGTTGCATGATGTTAAATTAAATTATTGGATCTTAGTATATCATTTTATTATATGATTTCAAATCAGGTTATGAGAAGTCAAAGGGTAAACTCGTGTTACAAGTTCATTCATTTAGATCTATAAAAATAAATTACTGTAATTGCTTACAATTGCAAATATCTCTTCCAAAAAATACAATTGGTAACAAATTAAATATATTCATATTTAAAGTAATTATATATTGTTGAGATGGCTTAATGTTATTTTTAGCCAATTTTAGATCTTAGGTCCAAAACTATAAATTAATTAATTTAATTATAAGGTTAAAATACATAAAACACAGCGTTTTTATATACTTCGCAAATCGTGCTAACTCTGAATGCAAGGCAACGTCTTCAAAAATAAAACATATTTTGTATAATTCACCTCCGCGATAACTATGAATGAGGGGGGTAACATTATTTTATTATTATTAATCTTAAAACATTTTATTTTATATTGATATTCAAATAACTTTATATTATTTCATATAATAATATTCTATTACGTGATACGTGACATATAGCGCATATGCCCTCTGACGTTGAATTAACAATAGAGCTACTCTAGGTTTTCCTCATTTCCATCTAATTGGAACATAAGTTAATTGGGGTGAATACACGTTTGTGGGCAAGCCGCACTTACTTGTACGCGCAACATTTCGAACATTGTTACAGACGTCCATAGGCTTTAAGAAAAAGGGCGGGGCAGAAAAAAAGCCTATGCCCAAGAACTGCAGTATAAGTTAATTACTTTAAAGGTGGGTTGTGGCTGATTTTAAATTTAAGTTTTTTAGTTAAAGCCGTGAATCGTTACTATCAAAAATTAAAATTTAAAGAGCATACCAATTCAATTTCGGTTTGTCCTGAACTAATAGCAATGGTTTAGAAAATATTAGTTGAGATTAACGTTACAAATTTTAATCAAGCCCAGAGATTTTTCATTTAAAATATCTATTCTTAATCCGGAAGAGTTTTTTGATACAGTTGTTTAATTTGATAAATTGTTTCATATTTAAGTTTAGTTAGTTCCATTACATCTTTTATAGTTTTATAATACCATAAAGATTTATATTTTGTGTATTCTTTCTTATTATAAGTGTAGAGCCATGTAATGGCATCGTGAACTAGATTATGGTCCGAGTTCCTTATGATGTGAGCTAGGAATCGGATACGACGTTTCTTTAAGGTAATATGAATTGGGGTATGTTTTGATATTTTCCATAGATTATTATTTGATATCACTTTTGGTAAAAGATGCCATTTATAGTTCGGAGGCAGTTATTTATGAATGATTGCAGTCTTCTATTCTCTGTTTTATTGATTTCCCATAAGTTCCCACCAAATAGTAATATAGGAATTATAGTAGAGTTGAAAATTCTGAGTTGGTGTACACAGAAATCTCTTTGGTTTTCCAAATTTTCAAAAATTTATAAAAAGCCCCTCTCGCTTTTTATATTCTTATTTTCAACTCTTTTAACAGCATCCCCTATTGTTAAGCATAACGCCTAAATATTTTATTTGTCTACTATCTTAATCACATTTTCCCCAATTATAAAATTTAAATTTTGGGCTGCATTTGGGGAAGGAAGAATGAAAGTTTTATCAAAGTTAATTTTTAAACCCAATCTCAGACTTAAGGTTTCTAATAAGTATAGCAAATTTTTCGTTTCTTCAACACTTGTAGATACTATGGCGATATCATCAGCATATGGTATTATCCGATTTTCCACACATATCGTAACATTGGAACCCATATCAATTAGATTTGCAGCTCCCAGGGCTTCTTTTATGATTTTATACATTATGATATTGAACAAGAAAGGTGAAAGTGTGCATCCTTGTTTCACACCCTTTTTTATTCTGAAAGAGGGGGATACCTTATTGTTAATTTTAAAACAAGCGGATAAATTAGAATAGTGATTCTTTAGGATGTAGATTATATTAGGTTCAATCCCACATTCCGAAAGTGTCCTCCACAGAGCATCATGATTTACGCTATCGGATGCCCTACTGAAATCTACGAAAGTGAAGAGAGCTGGAATTTTATATTTCCAACATTTTTGTACCATTATTTTTAAAGTAAGAATAGGTTCCAGAATATTTTTGTTGGGTCTGTAAGCACAAATATATTTTGGGAGTACGTTTGGTACATATAACATAATCCTGTTTTTTAGCAGGACTATAAAAATCTTAGATACAGTAGATTTAAGAACTACAGTGCGATAGTCATTAAATTTCTTTGGGTCATTTATCTTGGGAAAATTACAGAAGAAAGAATTATTTCATTCCACAGGGGTTTTTCCGGTTTCCCATATTTTATTAAAAAGAGATATTAGAAAGGCTGATACAGTTCTAAGTGCAATTTTGAGATGTTCAGCTGTTATTTTATCTAGTCCAGGAGCTTTATTATTGAGCGATTTTTTAATTACTTTTACAATTCATATGTGGAGAAACCCGACGGGGGCGGAACTGAGTGCTCGTTTGTGTTTGTTGGGCGGATAGCTCTTCTTAAGTCGAAGACCATCATATAGTAGTCTAGCCATAGTGCTATTTGTTCCTCTTGGTCCGGGATTAGCTTTCCATTTGCTAAAACTAGATAGGGAAGCTTCTTGAAGCTGTACGGTTTACAGAAATATTTCAATTTTTTATAAGCATCATAGATTCTATTTTCTTTAATGTCTTTAACAATTTCAAAGGCTTTTTTTGCAATGTATCTCCTTCTATCACTCAACAATTTTTGTATATCTTTCCACAATTCCTTATTTAAATTGTTACCTTCTCTAAGCTGACTAATTTTTGCTATTGTCTCGTTTGTTAACCATTCTCTCCTTGATAGATATTTATATTTGGTAGCCTGTTATAAGAATCTGTAATATCTTTTTTGAAAAGGCTCTAGCATTCCTCTACGCTTCCATTCAAGGTCGTGTTTAGAAAATTATCTCTTTTTCTGACAAGAATTTGATCAAATAACAGCATATCATCCTACGACTGAGCTTTAATTTGTTTTCGAGAGAGGAGGGGTTTAAAGAAATTTGTCCTGTGCATAGATGTATTTGGACTGACCCCATTATGGTATCCCCATATATTTTTTCAGTCATTTTAGCTACCACCATTCTGTGATCTAATAATTTAATATTAGTAGACACTATAACATCATCAAACCACCCGTGAATATTGAATATGAAGAAATCTATTTGGGATTTCTGATTTGCTCTTACAAAAGTATATGTGTTTATCTCACGATGGTAAAAGAATGTATTTTCGATTTTGAAGTTCTTGTTTTTACAAAAATCAAGTAATTTTCTACTATCTACACTATTGGATTGTTGTATAGTTGCATTTCCGATAATATTCTTATTAACATATTCTACAATTTTGCCGATTTTTAGATTAAGGTCACTTAATATTATAATATTATATCTTGATGGCAAAGAATTAATCAAGGTAGTCATTGTGTCAATAAAACTCAGTCTATCATTTCTCTTTGGTGGGGCATAACAATTATTGTAGGTTTAAAATTTGTATTCAGGTAGAGGAGACCACATCTTTCAGATATGTATACAAATTTAATGATTGATTTTTGCATCCTTTTGTTTATTAGAAATGCGATTCCAGACCAGATGTTGAAAGTGGTACCAGAGCAAAAGAGCTTATAATCTTTAAAGTCTGCGGTATTATTTCCTGGGCAGTGGGTTTCTTGGATACCTACGATGTCTAATTTCATGTATGCAAAATCTCTAAGCAGTACTACTAATTTTTTTTTAATTCCATTTATATTGAGAGACGCTAGTTAACCTTTATTTTTTATCTTAAACTATCATTCAAATTAATACCTTATTTAAAAGATAATCTTAGGAACTTTACTCATCTTTGATTTTATTAATAAAAGAATATCATTAGTTCTCTCCTACCTAATGCTTTTCTGGCAGCAAGAGGTAAAGGTTACCGATTTAAAAAATTAACTTATTTTGAAATCTAATTCAAATAATTGAAAAATTTTTCTCTTTTAACAGGTAAAGGAAAAGCAAATGGGCAGATGATTCTAATGTATATGTGATGGGCGCAACAACTGCAAACAAACCTACTAAAAATTAACCTCAAGCTCATAATTCAATGATAAAGAGATAGTATAGATAAAAAAATCCTGAATGAGAAAATTATAGAATAACTAAGGGAATTGTTTATATATTAAATGAAATAACCAAACCTATAATAAAAAACGATAAAATTAAAGAAAAATCCTTTACATTTTAAAAATTAAAAAATCTAAATCACGTAGAAGAGAAGCTAAAAATATAATTAATAAAAAAAAGTATATAAAACTAGTAAAGTTTTTACCAAGGGAGAACCTGAAGGATTTATTAATATTACTAAAATTACAAATAATTTTATTTATAAATTCTTAATAATAATATTAAAATAATCATATTAAAAAAGTATTTCAAAAAGAATTAAGATTATAAAATTTTCACATATAAAAATCATTAACCAGATTTATCAAAATTCAAATTCCATTACTTAATATTCTTGTTCAATATTGGAAAAATATTATTTATTTCTAAATCCAGTCCGTCATATTTAATGAAAATGATAATAATAATATAAGTAATGATAATGATGAAACGTAAATAAAGAGCTAACGTTATGTTTAGATAAAAAGATGAGGATATGAAAAAACCAACGATAATAAAAACTGAATGGACAAACACAACATCTACAACTAAACGTTTCAAGTGATAAAAGCGTTGTTAAACGCTACTTTTAAAAGTAGCACGTTATTGCTACAGTTATTATTTTAAGTAGCGAACGCTACTTTAGAATTTTTTTAAAAATATTTTTTCCATATCTCTATTTCCAAAAACAAAATGGTTAAATAAAATATGATTATGATTTCAAATAAATATAATTTATTAATTTTTTTATTGAATTTCAATAATAGTAACATGTCTATACTGTCTTACGCAAGTCTAGAGCAATGACCAGTAAGCTTTCATGCTAAATAATTGTTCAACACTAGCTCTTGAGGACAATGCAATATTAAATTCAATATATATTTTTTGGGTAATAGGTTTGTCGGTATCCTGAGAAAAAAATCGGCTAAATTATATGAAGGATAGGCCTTCATTAATTCACGTTCGCTCATTTTGGGCAGGTCTATGACCAACGTGCAAGATAAGATAAGATAAGATAAGATTTAAGAATAATCATCAAAAATATTTATTTGATTATTTTTAGATTTAAAAAATGCGTCTAGAGGATTTTCAATAGTATTATTATTTATTTCAAAAAAATCATCTATAATAGGTGCTGATTTTAATCTGGCTAGGGTATCCTGGTTTCGTATAGTATTATTTAACGTTACCATTAGCCTAACAAGTTGCCCGTTGTATTCAGTCAAATTAATGTATGGCAATTCAACTTGATAGAGTAAACAATAGCAGCTATATTTAACATTCAGATAATAATTTAGATGAGTTTGATGATAAAATGAGATGTAAATAGTAATTATTTATTGTAATTTTAATTTATAATATAATTCTTAAATAATATCTCATAACCAGTTCTGGGTCAGAAAATCAACTTTCACATAAACTCATCTAGCTCAAAAACTATTATAGATACAGCTTTGATTCAAATTTTACTTTAAGAATTGGGCACACATTGATATTAAATATGTTTGATATAATACCTGTAATTGATTTCTAAATTTCAGGCTAGTAGTCTTGTTTGATTAAAACCTTCTGGAACATGGCGCAATGTTAATTTCAATAGTTTAAAACATGATAAAAGTAAAATTTAATAACCATTTTTAGACCTTATGTCCAAAACAATAAATTATTACATTCTATTAAAAAGTAACATTATTTTATTATTATTTATCGTAAAACATTTTAGGTCGCATTTCACTACGATCTCCTCTAAACTAAATAATTGGTCAAATTACTGGTTGTTATATTATGGTAAATAAATAAGATATTTATACGTTTGACATAATATCCCAAGAAATACTAGGTCTTTTATCCGTTTCATCGAAATCTTGCACGTCACTCCAAGAATTGTTAAACGGATTAAGGTTAGCTGTATTAAATTGTTCTATGGGGTTTTTTAAGTAAATATATATTTTAAACTTTCAGAGAAATCTTAAACCACTATTTATTTATACTTTTCAATTTAAATAAACGATAAGATTTAGATCTAATCTTATACTAACATCACCAGGTCACGTGACATTTTATTGCTCAACATTCTATCGAGCGACACTTTATCACGAGACTATCGATTAAAATATATTTCAGTTTCCGCCCTCCTTATATACTATAATTTAAATAAAAAATTTTATAATTTCAAAATTTGATAAAATTTTGCGTGCTAGGGTGTCATAGGATTATAAATGTCCAAGTGATTAAATGTCGGCTTGAGAAAGTATCGACATAATAGAGGAGCGCGTGACTTTAATTATGTCGTAGGAGTTTAGCGAATTAAAAATTAAATCATTTAGAGTGCGCGTTTTTTAAAATTTTTCAGAGATTTGTTGATGACGTAAGCGTAATTCCAAAAATATATAAAATATTTACACTGTGAATATCTCACAATTTTGGCAGGAACTTTAAAACTACCCTAAATTTTTTATTTAGAGCTTTTTTTAGTCACATAGTTTTATCTTACAAATATCTTTTTCAAACACTTAATTTTCAATGTAATAAAACAATATAGTATTCTATATCCATATTTTATAATTTTTAAGAAGAGAATTAAAAATTTTTTTTTTGTATTTTAGAATAGGATTGGTCACGCCATAGTAATGTAAATAAAGAATTATTTTAAATTACATTTTAATCATTTTTATTGGCGATATAGAAGAATACAATATTGAAGGATTGATGTATCGAAAAATAATGCATTTTTATAAAAAAGAAAGAGTATATATACAACATTATCATGCTCAGCCGATGTTATCTACTTGAAGAAAAAAAAATACTATGTGACTAAAAAAAAGCTAACAAAATCTCAGGGCAAAATTGACTGAAATTTTAAAATAACCCACGCTATAAATGATTTTAAGTTTTTAAAATTTTGCTAAAAATTTGGGTCAATGAAGCAGAGCCTCAGAATTTTCTAAACCCCCTATGATGTATACATATTAGGCATATTAAAAAAATATATAAATCAAATAATAAGTTATTCGTATTCGATTCCTATTAAAATATACTATTGCTTGTAGATTGGTAGAATTACTAAAAGTAACTTGTTCAATTCGTTCATGAATACGAATAGTTCATTATTTGATTTGCATTTCGTTTTTAAATAGGCCCTATACATATTATGTATAATTGGAAAATAAATGTAACCTGTCAGACCCAAATAATAGTAACAAAAACACGCGAATTTAATGGATTGAGACGATTCTATGGATGGTTTGGTTAAACTGAACAACCATATATCCACATTTTTACAATCGCGAACTCTGAATTGATGCGAGGCGCCCATTATTTTGCAGTTTTCGCAGTTTCTGATGTATATACTAATTTATAAAATATAATATATATTTGTAAGTCGACAAAAATAAACTACTCTAAAGAATATTATATAAGAATATATACATTTTATGAGATATAATAATTATCCTATAGGCCGTTTTCTTGTTCATCTTATTTCCAAAGAGTAAACCTTTTAGTCATCTATGTAGCTCTCTCTAAACAGCCTAAAATGAAAGAGGTTATTTGGATTTACTTAGGTAAACATAGCTTCGTGACTCTTTCAAAACCGAAATATTTTCAATGTACATACTTAAAACAAACCAAAATAGGGTGTGCTAGTTCAAAATAAGTTTAACAGGGTCTAAATTGAAATAAGTTTTAATGAGACTAGACAGAACACGGCCATAGTTGCTTTATCATATTATATTTATAAAAAAAATTAATAAGTTATTATTATGAATAACGTGTTTTTGGTTGGTCCGACGAATATTATACAATCGCTGCATCGGTCTATACTAACGGAATCGCTGTTGTCCAGTATAAACAATTTGCAATTCTTAATTCAGAATTATATTTTTTTACAAAAATAAAAATGCCCAAATACCAGTTATTTTTATAATTATCTGATATAATTTAAGCCTTATATCATTTACATAATTAATTTTTCAAATATTTAACCAAATCATAATAATAATAACTATTCTATATGAATCCAAACATGATATTTACAGATGCAATTATATCATATCGGAAACCATAAAAATTATATTAAAATATAATATAAAATGATTTAACAAAACGAAATCATATTAATGAAAAAGTAATCAAATTATATTATATATTATTATTGATACAATTAATTTAGGCCTCCCAAGAAAAATGACCATCACAGTCTCAAATGAACTAGCCCGCTAAGAACCAGCCCTTTTAAAAAGTTAAGCTCAGTTAATTCAAGATCCAATTAAGTTTTTTGACTTTTCACAAAAAAAATATTATTATTTTTTTTCTGACTCTACAAAAAAAATATATTACGATTAATTATAAAAAAAAAATTTGATAATTGAAATGAAAAACGGTGGTATTAGTGGTATACATGGTATTGATTTTTTTTATGGATGAAATGAAAGAGGTTTCTTTTACTTATACAAACAAAACTGAACTTATTAAAAAACAAAAACATATTTTTTTTAGATGACATTATATAGAATTAAGGTATATAGTAAAACCTATAAATCTGGTCACATTTTTATGATAGTCGCCTGCCTATTCTGACCTGGAACTTGCAAACTTATATTAGCCACATATATTTTTATCATAATATCTAAAACACTATAATATTAAAATACTTTAAATTAAAAATACAATTCCATAATTGATTTCCCCAAAAAAGAAAAATTACACCTAAATATTTTAGGTATTATTTAGTTATTTAAAATTGTTAGCTAGATTTAAAAAAAGAATAATATATATTTATCAAAACTGTTCTTATTTTGGATTTGATTAAAATAAAGTAAGGGTAAGCCAAGGATTATCATTATATCGATTTTTCTTAAATTGAGTAAAGCGCAGTGAGCGAATTGCGATAGCTCTGTTTTTCGACTAACCAATACGAATATTAAATTATTCGAAAAAAATTTAACTAGTATGAAATACGAATTATCAATCATCTACACTAACTTATTATTAAATAATTTTCTTTGGAAATCTAAATAATAGGTGGGGGGAGGGGTAGATTTGTTATATCCTATTCTTATCAATTAATAAAATACTTACAATTTTTTATAATTAATATTTTGTTTGTTTAGTATGGAAATTTTTTTTTTACTATGAACCTTGCATTTATGAATTATGAATTGATTTCCGTTTACGCTCCCTGGAGGTTTGAAATAAGACTGGTCTGTTAAATTTTCGAATTTGTACTCTCGGATATTTACGCCTGAACGCTTTTCCCTTTATATAAATAAAAAGAAGAAGGTTAAATGATTAATCATATTTGAATTTTTTAAAAAATTTTTATTTTATTTAAAAAAAGTGTTAAAACCAAAGAATTATTAAATATTCAATAAATTGGAAAAATTTGAAAGTTTTATCCTTTTTTTTAAAGCTTCTATGAACTAAAATTGGAAAAATATGCTATAAACTAGTGTCTTTAAAAAGCCCGAATCGGGTCGATATTTAAAAACGCTCCTAGTAACACAGAATAATATTATGTAAACCTGGAAATTTTGCTCATACTTGGCGGAAAGGTCTGGACATCTATTCGCCAAATCTTGAGGCATACATAATTTTGGTTAAAATATTTATTTGTCAGTTTTTTAATAATAGACCCAAATCGAACTTTTTAACAACAATACTATATACATATAAAACCAGGGTGTCAAAACACACCGAAATGAACCGTTTTAAATTATTTAATAGTATCCACACCGAAAAACTTCGTTACTGGCCTAATAGGTTCAATAACAGTTTTTACATAATTATTTTTAATGATTAGCTTTATTCTAAATATTTTCTTTAAAAAAGAGTAAAACTACAAATTTTGATGTGATTTTGTTAGTGTTGTTGAACGGCTCAATTTGAGCCGATTTTCAAAAATGACTTATATGTTTTATCCAGAAAAATATTACGCAAGCCTGGCTGGCTAAAATATTCAACTAGCCGTTTTTTTAAATCGGCTCAAATCTAGCCCTTTAATAACATTATTGGTTAGTTAATTTGTTATTTCCTTTCTTATTCATGTTTTACAATAAAAAATTTTAACATTATTTTCCTTAATTTTTAAAATATTTTAAAACTATTTTTCATTAGATTATAAATGGAACAATTAAACAATTTAAAAAAATATATATTATGATTAATTTTTTTGAAAAAAATAAAAATTATAAAAATTGAAACGAACCTAAAAGAACCTGTATGAATTTCAAAATCGAAATGAACCGATAAAATTTGTTTAAAAATAACCAAAATGGAACTACACGATGAAGAAAGAAGTTATTTCTTTAAACTTTACTCCTTAACCATAGAAGTAATTTAAAATTAAAATCAGCCCCCTATCTATAGAGTAATTAAATGTATATGCAATTCATGGTGGGTAGTAGTCTTAGTTTAATCTCCCTTTAATCACAGACGTTAACATAATCTTTACGCATAATACTTGCCCATAAACGTATAGAGGATTGCTCATAATTTTCCGCTAAATTTTATTAACATCAAATTAGATGCAAATGAGGAATACCTCGCGTAGCTCTTTTGTATCCACAACAAGATAGGGCATATACCCCTAAATCACATAAAAGAAATAATCTGCAATAGTGTTAGATATTGCTATAGAATAATATATGGATTTCACTGAATTATATAAGTGAACTATCCCCGATTTTTTAGGTTACCCAAATGTTATTTTTTTTATACATAGTATCAGTGTCCAAATAGCAATAATTGTTGGACAATGAAATATAAATATATAATGTTTATTATTTTATTCATCGCTCGTCATTCCCTAGAGGGATAAGTCGTAACAAAGTAGACTCTCTTGAAAGAAAGTCTTATATCAATGATTAAATACAAAAATAAATAAATTTTTGGACACCATAAACACTGTTATTAATGTTATATCCAGTGAATTGTAATTTTATATCAATATCATGAATTCATTTATAAATTTATATTTTAAATGTATAATAATATAATTTAGTCATGTTCAAGATAATGAGAAGATAAAATCATACTTGAAAACTATGAATCATGCTTTCATCTATTATGATATTAATAAAGATTCAATTTATTTTTATATAATCAATCAACTATACAATGTTCCCTGTTAATATATAAAACAGGAATGTTGGTTTCAAATAGCTAATAAATTTTATAAACCCAATTGGTTAAGAATGAAAACTTTAAAAAACATTATTTTATAACATGGACTTTTTTCGGCAAATTTCTGTCTGTTTTTCTTTAAAAAAATGATCTTGGCTTTAAGTCTGGGTTTTCTTCTTCTCTTCAAAATTACAAAAGACTCGAAATATTTATTATATCATATATTAGAAATTTATCTTTAATCAAAATTATTATTATATCGGAAATATATGATAATAAAAAAAACTAATTTCCAAATGTCTATAAAATTATAGAATACAAATTTGATATTAAAAATTTAATTAAATTAAATTATTAACATTCAAGCAAATTCACAAAAATAAAACATTATTATCCAAAAAAAATTTAATTTATTTTTTTAAACATCTTCAAAAAGTTTTGTTTCGTAATAAACTAATATGTATATGCATAATATTAATATTTAATAACCACATAACATGAAAATGTCATAATCTTTCTCTATGCAATATAACCGCTTATAGTTTTTATGACGGGAAATATTAAAACAGGGAAAAGATAAAACAAAGGAAAAAATAAAAAAAGGAAAAAATCAGAGACCTGCAGAGGTACCACTTGCACAGCCCGGCTTTGTAGGCCCGGCCTGGGTATTTTTAAAAAAAATTTAGGCCGGCCCGGTCTAGATTAATTTAATAAAATCAAAATACGGCCCGGCAGAAGTACAGATACCGGGGTTAGGGCCGGGACTACAGATCTTTGGAAAAAATAAAAAAAAGTAAAAATCAAAGGAGAACATTAAAACTGGGAAAAATAGTGAAACTACTATAAAGTTTTCTACTGAACCAAATAATAATATTGATCGTGAATGTACGCGTTATAAACAAAAAAGGAAAGTTATAAGAAATGTATTTAATGTAGTATATAATTATAAATGTATATAATAAACTCGTTTGGAACATATACAGATATAACAAAGAGTTTTTTGTTTTAAAGTGGAGTCATTTTAATAAGAAAATCAACTAATATTGAAGCCTGAAATTCTTACTTATATTAAACAGAAATAACTTATGACATAAAGCTCTCCTTTTATGAAATTATGGAGAATCAGAGAACGCTATCCATATACCGTTAATTTATTTGGTGGAAAACAATGCTTAAGTTGTCAATTTGGGAAAAATTAAATATTTATAATTAACATCCAATAAATATACAGGCAAAATTATTAAATGAACTAAAACATAATTAAAAGCATATTTGTTCACTTTTATGGTTGTATTGCTATTATATCAATAATTAATTGGTTGGAAAATTATATAATGGTCATTTATCATTTATTTACTGCTCATATTTTTAATTTATCTTTGAAATATTTTTTAAAATATACAACCAAAATTTTTTAAAAGAGGAAGTTTTAACAATTCCCATCCGAGCCTATAAAATTTTAAATTTCCGGGGAAGGTTTAAAATTAAAAATACCTGAGCTGAGCCAAAAATATATCTTTTTAAAACCGGACATGAAAAATATCTAATAAATATTTTTTTTTAAAAAAATATTTTATTTTTATACAATAAGTATAAAATTTATCATTATTATTGCTATAAAATAGGAGCTATTTGGCATTATTTCGGGAGTTACAACAAATACCAGCATGACCTAAAAGTCTATCAATTATTGTTTATTGTAAAAGCAATAATAGCCAGATTTCCAAGTTACAAAGACGCTATTGCATTTAATTGCGAGTCAATGCCATTGAGTTTTTAGATATTTTGATAATTAAAGAATTCAAAAATATGAGCCACCCTTACTATTGATATTTCAAACTTCAATTCATACGGTATCATAACGGAAGGCCTTTGAACCTGAATAAATATTATAGGGTAACTATATCTTCTTCGTTTTAGGGAGGTCATAGATTTATTGTATGTATTCCTAAAGCTAAGCATCCTAATTCATTATTGGGCAATTTTTTGTGATAACTCATAAGATTTAGATATGTGTAACTGTTAGTATTACATTGTTCTATAGTGTGGGAACTTATTTCGAGATCATTTTTTTGTAATCTATTGCCAATTCTAAATAAACCAAAGATTATACGATGATTGGGCTAATCCTCTTCTCATATTTTTAACCCAAACTTATTCTTGTCAAACATTGTCATAATTTGCAATTTGTAAAACGCAGTCCGTTCAATTTAATATAATTTAATGGGCTTTGATTATAAAAAAAAGAGTCTCCCAAGTAATAATATTTTATGATCAGAAGGGGCATCATTTTACAAGATATCTTTCAATAAATTATTAATATATTTTCTTTATTTGCAGAGCAGAAATTAAAATATACTATTTCAAAATTAGAAGTAAAAATAAATAATATTTAATGATCATAAAATCAATAAAAGTTACCATGAATATGATTTATATTCGATACTAATGGGTTTGATAAAATGCACTGTAAAAGTTAACGTCATTATTTTTATTCGCTGCAATGATTTCGTTAATAGGTGTAACATTAACAGCCTTAATGACGTCTATTCAATAAAAATCTGCAGCAATAGTGTTTCATGACGTCGGCGTTACTATTCGTTGCTAATGGTTCTGATAAAAAGCTATCCATACAATAAATATAATAAATGGTATTGTTGTTATTTTACTATGGAGAAGAGAAGAGTTAATATTATTTACTTTTAAGTGCAAATATTTTAAAATATCCTTATAAATAAATCTAAAGAAAAAATAGTCTTCTCAGAAATACAACGTAATTGTAATTTTTTATAATTTATTCAGGTGTACACATTTCCAAATTTGAAAATCGAAATTAAGAGCGAATAGGTTATAAGTTCGCTAGATTTCATGAATTTTATGGCTTCCATTTTTAATTTTAATTTTTGAAAAACGATTAATTTTATTATATTTTAAAAATGGCATATATAATATATATGATATGGACTGAAAAAAAAGTTCAGCGGGTTACTAAAAAAATCTATAAAAGAGGTATTGGCTATTATTCTTAAATTTAATTTTACTCCAAGTCGAGGTTCTATCAAAACTTTAAGCAATAAAGAAAAAATAATAATTAAACGCTCTATAAAATAAATGGGGGCACTTTGAACAATACA